GCGCCCTTGGTGAACCTGGTGGCAAACGAGACCATCAAGTAATGCTGTGGTCTGTTTGTGGGACAAACATATAGACTGAGTAAAGTACGTGTGGAGATGGGAGAAAGACAACATTCCTGCCCCAACTGGGTGGCGGTGGGGGCGGTTTATAGTGAAACCGGATTAGGCGACTTTCAACGTGAATGACTGTGTCCTGTGAAGTCCCTGTCTCTCTTAATGGTTCTCAGTCTAGAAAGAAATCCGTCTTCATTCCTTTTTCTTCATTAACACTGACTTTTTCATTTCACACCATCTGCTGAACTTGATTAGCCTCTCAACACAACCCGCATCAATGCCGCGGAAATAGAGAGCCGGGTGCGAGAGCTAAGCAAATTAGCCGAGACCACAGATAAAGTCAAGCAAGGCTTTTGGGAAGAATTTGAGGTAAGTTATTAAAGATTCTTTTTTAAAATGTTATTTAAAGGAAGAGCCATAAAATCATTTTTTAATGGCAGAGAGGCTGGAATTGGGTTCGGATACTGGAATGGGGTGTCTTTTCTTAGTTTGATCATTGATTGGCACAAGCAAATTGTTGGGGGCTTCTTTTAAGTAGGAGGGCTCTGTGTCCTGGGAGAAGGGAGTTAGCAGTGAATACTAAATGGATCAGCTAGCAGTACTTTTGGTTTGTTAGCCAAAAAGCCCGGGGAAACAAAAGGGTCTAATTCCTTCGGAAGATTCCCAGCATTTTCCTGGGGGCCTGTTAGAAAGAATCTAGACTCAGAATCTATATAGAGACTCTTTAGACACTGCAATCTGTACGTTACAGTGAGTGGACAGAAGAGACATAGCTCAGGGTGGCTTCGATTCGGGAGTTCAGATGCAGAAGTCACATGAACGGATGGCTTTTCCTGAAACCAACCTCGGGTGGAGACTTGGCATGAATGAGAATATGCCCTTCTCTGGTACAGCACTTCCCAGCCACCCAGAGAGTCCTGGCAAAAAGGAATCGAGAGAGAACAGGCTTTCTCCCCACACTTGGGGTGAAGCCCCCACATATTCTCGTCTTTATTTTCCAGTCCCTTTCATTCAACAGAAAACACCATCACAAGGATTGTGGCAGGGTCACCTTCGTGGCTCCCAGGGAGCTTCAGCAAGTGCTGCTGTATGGCCTGTCTCCCCACTGCATGCCGCTCCCTCCCCCAGCTGCGCTTCCCTCAAAGCCAGGCCCAGCTAGCACTTCATCTGGAAACGTCATTATCTTTAAACCAAAAGGGCTCTTGAAAAAAACAAAACAAAATTGCAATATTCTATTGTACCTAAAATATTAACAGTAATTCCTTGATATTGCCACATAGTAACCGCTCCGTCTGCTGATAAGTACATGTATTTATGCCTAGGTGTGTTTTTTTGCAAAGAATGCAGCCAGGCAAGTAGCTCACCCGACCATAAAACAACACACCTAGCACTCTTGCAAAACTGCCAGGGGGTCAGGGGCTGAGTTGTTGTCCGAAAACTGTATCATATGCATTTTATCTGCATGAAAATGTGGTTAGGTATTTGCTTAATTCTTTTCTTTTCTCCTACAAACTTTTTACTACGTACTATACCATTGTTCATCCAACCTATTGATGGGCATTTGAGTAGTTTTCAAATGTGTTGCAAGGAGGATTGCAAAGAATAACCTTGTGCATGCTGCATCTTTTTATAGTTTTGCAGATCGATTATTAGGCATGTGGATAGGTTGTTGTGCCAGCCTGGCTGATAAACACAAGTGGGATTGACTGAAGGGCTGAGAGATAAATGGCTTGGTGAGCCTTGCCTTTCTTGTCTCTTGCTCTGTGATCATTGGACCAGTGTGCGGCTGCCTTGCTTGTTCTGTGCCTCAATTTAAAGGCTACACTACCTGTGGGACGCCTAGCCTGTGGACTGTGTTGCTGTAAGTTGAGGTCCCTTTAAGACTTCTCTGGAGCTGGGGACTGGTGGTTGGTGACCTGCCTTGTGATTGGCTGCTGTGCTGACATAGCCTAGCTCTCTCTACAAATAGAGGAAGATCTGGCATCAGACTAGACTTGAAGGACTGCTAGTCTCTCAACTTTCTCTCACACGGACGTGAGTTGCACTGAGCCATTTGTAGTGGACTTTTTGAAAAATTAAAAGATAAGAGGCAATCTTAAAACAAAACAAAACAAAACAAATGATATGGACCACAAAAAGGTTAACTTTTAAAAAAAAAGTCCATGGATGAATGGAATGAAAAGAGAATGAAATATCTCCCCCCCCCCAAACTCTTTGAAAGCCCTTGTATCATACGTGATTTTGATTAGCGTATCTATAAAATCTGCAAAATGATCTTTTTAGTTACACTTGGGAGATGTTGAGCTTCTCTGGTCAAATAGAAGAAACCTCAGCTGTTGGATGAGCTAGACCCATTTTAATGTTGGGACCCCTTTTAAAATGGTGTCTGAGTGTGACCATTTGAGTATGGCGTGTGGCTGTTCTTTCAGTGTGACTCTAGAGCACCGTGGCTGTGAGGCAGGGGTCTGGGGTTGCCCCAGGGACAGCGTCTAGGGGAAAAGGCAGCTGAGGTGTTTCCTATGGTTCCACTGCTGGGAGTCCAGATGGGAATGGGGACTTTTCTGGCTACGGGGAGAGGGTGGCTGCTCAACGCTGACTTGCTGGTTTCAATGCGTGGCAGCTCATGTTCAGGTTATGTCTTATACAGTTAGCAACCAGGGTGGGGGGGTGGGGGGATGTTATCAACTTTGAAGGGGGAAAATGGGAAAAACCGAGATCGCATTTGGACCCCGAGTTCTTCCTAGAGGCCGGACAAGGGAATGGAGCTGAGAAGAGAATAAACCATTATGGGAAAAAATTAGATGCTTGGAGGCAGATGCTCATTATCATCTAAATCCTCTGCAACCGAAGTTTGAGCCTCCACAGCAGCGCAATGTGATTGTAGTCATTGCACCTTGGCAATGTCTCAGAAAGTGATAAATCTGGGATCACTTCCTACTTAAGTGTGTGTGGGATGGTCTCTAAGGTAGGCCAGCGTTCTGAATTGCAGCGTCATTGGTCATATAACCCGGACAGCCCTTGTTGGTCTCTGTGCCTGACACATGTAAAACCCCATGTGTCATTTGGAAAGAAGACGCATGTGACTTACAAGAAGACATTTGTAAGTTACTTTCGCTTTCAACACATCCTGAAATAGGAAGTCTCCTGTGAAGAGTCTGATTCTTTTCTCTTGTGCTGATGGTGCTTTTCTGGGATACGCTGTATGATCAGGACGTTGCATGTGTACGTCTTTGGTATTTCCTAGAGACTTCCTCTAGCC